GTGATTCTCTCTCATCATCGATGTTTCTCTCTCTCCCTTTCTCTCTGAAATCAATAAAAATGTTTTTTTTTTTTTAAAAAATCACTGGCCTAAGACTTCATAAGAGCAAAAAAAATAAGGTCAGAGGGAAAGCAGCCAGAATATTCTTCCTTTGAATGAATTTTAAACATTCAGAAGAGAAAGAATTAAAAAAAAAAAATCAGGGGTATTCGAACCCCTTGCGGTGCTTTGAACCTGGGAAGCACCGACAGCGTCTCCTGGTTGCTGAGATGACTAAGTAGCCATGTTGGTGGAGTTGCCTGGTTGGCACAGGCCCTTCGAATGGCAAACCCCGACTCGGGGGCAGATGTTAATCATTAACGGTGCCAGGCCTTCAAAGACACCGTGTGCGCCCGGCACACAGAGGCAGACGCACAGAGATCAGCCGCCAGGAATGCAGGGAGGAGCCGGTATCTGCGGAGGCTGCGGTTTACTGAGTAACATGGGCCCGGCCAAGGGACCGGCCTTTAATCCCAAGTCGGACGCCTCCCACCCTGAGCAATCAGCGAAGGAGAAAGGGAGATAGCGCACGCACCCGGGCCGCCCTCCAGCCAGAGGACGCAGCTGGAGATCTCTGAGCAAGAGAGAAAGAAAAGAAAAAAGAAGATGGCACAGGCTTTCACTGTGAACCGAAGACTGCGGGACACCATCAAGGCCGTATTTCAGGCGGCACTGCGCACGTCTCATGAGAACAAGCAAAGGCACAGGGTTGGCACAGCTAAAAAGTGAGCTCAGCCCGGCCGGCGGGGCTCTGTGGTTGAGCATCAACCTATGAACCAGGAGGTCCCGGTTCGATTCCTGATCAGGGCACATGCCCGGGTTTCGGGCTCCATCCCGCGTGTGGGGCCTGCAGGAGGCAGCCCATCCATGATTCTCTCTCATCGTTGATGTTTCTATCTCTCTCCCCCTCTCCCTTCCTCTCTGAAATCAATAAAAAAATTTTTTTAAAAAGTGAGCTCAAAGGGTAACAAAGGAACTACTACAGAACCTCAGAAGGGAGCAGGAGGGCATCCCCTATAAAGCATGCTTTCTGATGTTTACACCACACGGAATGAGAATCAACTCACCAGATACACCTCCATTGATACAATGATCATTCATTAAAAGTAATTCAATAACGTAGCTTGAAGTAACCATGATTTATGAACATGACTTCCCAAATTTTAAATTCTGTGATTTCAACTTTCATTTTACCCTCCAAGTCCTCTCCCATTCCCCCAAATTTCTCTCTTTTTTTAAAATTTTTGCAATGAAACGTCTAATTTTAGGATTCCTGAAAACAATTTAGGAGAAGTGCAAAACAAACAAACAAAAAAATCCCAAAACATCAGTCATTTTAAGTCAACCAACTGTATTCAAGTTTCCAAGAAACACGTGAATCATATCGCTGATAATAATCCTTCCGAGAACGCAGGATGGAAGGTTACTTCCCAGGATCGCTTGATTCCTGAGGCCCGGGCTGGGGCTGGGGGTGGGGTTGACAGCTGGAGCCGGCCCCACGCCACCTAGAGCCACCGCTTTCCTGGTTCTGAGGTGAACGCTTAACCCTTACTCAGCATTTTACTAAGAAACAGGCACCTTTGCCTGGGACAGTGTTTGTCCCGGGACATTTCGGGGTGCAGCGGCCGGAGAACAGAGGAGGCCCTGCGAGCTGTGTCCCCGGCCATTCTGAGTTCCTCCCCGTGCCCTTGACCCTTGTCCTTGGGACACAGTGTGTCCTCGGTGGAGATCAATGCCCCCGCTCCCAGCCCCCCGGTCGCCGGATCCCTCACTCTCAGTCCTTCAGGCCCCTTGCCTGCGGCACCAGATAACCTCCTGTCCTAGGAGCCTGCGCCTCCCTTATGCTGGCTGGACTGAGTCATTATTATTAGTATTATTACTTGCTTGTTTAATGGTCCTCCGTCTGCCTCTCCTGCTAGATAACACGTCCACGCGCTACACTGTTTCACGCTTGGTCATTTTTGCCCGCGGCACTGACCAAAGTGCAAGGTACAGTACATGGGAGGCATCCGATAAAGACACGGACCAAGCCTGAGCCAAGTTTCTTCCTGGGCTCCCGATGGGTTTTTTATTTTTATTTTTTAAAATATATTTTATTGATTTTTTTACAGAGAGGAAGGGAGAGGGATAGAGAGTTGGAAACATCGATGAGAGAGAAACATCGATCAGCTGCCTCCTGCACACCTCCTACTGGGGATGTGCCCGCAACCAAGGTACATGCCCTTGACCGGAATCGAACCTGGGACCCTTCAGTCCGCAGGCCAACGCTCTATCCACTGAGCCAAACCGGTTCGGCTCAATTGATTTTTTAGAGTGAGAGAGAGAGAGAAAGACAGAGAGAAATATTGATCAGCTGCCTCCTGCACGTGCCCCAACCATGGCCCGAGCTGGGGAGGAGCCTGCAAGCAAGGTACGAGCCCTTGACCGGAACTGAACCTGGGACCCTTCGGTCCGAAGGCCGGCACTCGATCCACTGAGCCAAACCGGCTGGGGCTACTTTTTTCTTTGCCGATCACACATTTCAAGTACAGCTCTGTTTTGTTTTAACTACAAAGCAGGAATCAATAAATATTGATGTCTGGAAACATTTTAGAAGAATGCCTGCAATGGCTGATGACTCCTGTCCTCCATCAGCTTCATACGTGTGCGTGTATCAGGCAACTCAATGCATGTTCTCACCTTTTCCTTTGTTCTCAGCTCATCGAACATCTGCTGGATCTCCAGCTTCCAGTCGTCCTGCATGGAATGAAAGGATTCCTGGGGCATCTCCGTCATGACCGCCCCTTCGATGGCGGTCAGCTGCTCGAGAATTAAGGCAAACGATGGGCGGATGTGAGGGTCTTGTTGCCAGCATTCTACAACAAACAAGGATCTCATCAATACCGTCCCTCAGCATAGTTCAGATGGCCAGCCCCTGCGGACAGTATTTGTTGAAGGTTTTTTTTTAAGTCCATTAATGATTTTTTTTAAAAGGTCGTTCTTTTTTAAAAAAATATATTTTTATTGATTTCAGAGACGAAGGGAGAGGGAGAGAGGGATGGAAACATCAATGATGAGAGAGAAGCATGGATCAGCTGCCTCCGGCACGCCCCCTACTGGGAATCGAGCCTGCAATCCGGGCATGTACCCTTGACAGGAATCGAACCCGGGACCCTTCAGTCCACAGTCTGACGCTCTATCCATTGAGTGACACCAGCTAGGGCAAGCCTATTCATGATGTTGAACATTTTATTTTAGTGACCATGCCAGTGGCATGCATAATAATGACTATCAGATAAGGCTTGTGTTGTCTATCTTATATGACATTAACATGTGGACATGTGCACTGATGCCCAGCCACGAAGCTGTCCTGGCTAGAGAGTTCTATAACTCAGCTCAAGAAAACCAAAGCCTCTAAAACAGCGGTTCTCAACCTGTGGGTCGCGACCCCTTTGGGGGTCGAACGACCCTTTCACAGGGGTCGCCTAAGACCATCGGAAAACACATCTATAATAACATATTGTTTTTGTGATTCATCACTATGCTTTAATGATGTTCAATTTGTAACAATGAAATTGGGGGTCACCACAACATGAGGAACTGTATTAAAGGGTCGCGGCATGAGGATGGTTGAGAGAACCACTGCTCTAAAACATTATAATCACAAGAAAGGTTCTAAGAAATAGCCTAATTATTAAGCAAAAAGAACTTGCCCCTTACAAAAAGAGTCAGTTAATTTTTAAGAGAGAAACATCAAAGATATCAGGTCATGGAAAACCACACCAGCTAAGACTGTAAAACGCTTTTGATCGTTAGGTTAGATTTAAAATAGCAGGTTCGGGGCCAACTCAACGCTGTCTTTGAATTCCACGAGTGCTCTTGATGAAACCTTTATTACCGTTCAGTTGAATTTTGTACCTCAGTGAGTCACCGATAAAAACGGGACTGTTGCCGAAACTGGTTTGGCTCAGTGGATAGAGCATCGGCCTGCGGACTGAAAGGTCCCAGGTTCGATTCCGGTCAAGGGCATGTACCTGGGTTGCGGGCACATCCCCTGGAATGGCTCTGAAGGTCCCATGTCAGCAAACCGCAGCCTTCAATTTAAAAACATGGAATCAGCCCCGGCCGGTGTGGGTCCGTGGATAGAGCGTCGGCCTGCGGACTGAAGGGTTCCGGGTTCCATTCCGGTCAAGGGCACGTACCTTGGTTGCAGGCTCCTCCCCGGCCCAGGCCTTGCTGGTCGGGGGTGCAGGAGGCAACCCATCGATGTGTCTCTCTCACATCAATATTTCTCTCTGTCTTTCCCTCTCCCTAAAAATCAATGGAAAAATATCCGCAGGTGAGGATTAAAAAACAAACATACATACATATATATAAATTTAAAAAAAATAAAAATATATATATATGCTGTAATGAAGGACGCCCCTTGCCCCCACAGACCCACAGAGACAGGGGTGCCCACGTACCTTTCATGAGCTTGGCGAAGGGCTCGGGGCAGGTGGACGGAATGGGCAGGGTGAGCTTGTTGACCGCCACCCCGTAGGCCACGGCGAGACCGTCGATGCCGCGGTAGGGGACCTCCCCCGTAAGCAGCTCCCACAGCAGCACTCCGTAGCTGGAAAGCAAGGTTACCATCAAGGTCACTGGGACACAGCTGGGGGACAAAGGTATCCGCACCCGCCTCCAGGGGCTCCCAGGGACCTGCTCTTCCTAGAAAGCGGCGGCCCTCATCCTAAGTGAGAGGCTAATGTCCAAACACAGGCGTCCCCAGAAATCAGTGGTGCACCCCAGAAATCAGCGGAGCCTCCAGCACAGGCATTCAGCTGCTTACTGAGCAGGAGGGCTCAGGGGCAGCGATGACTGAACCAGGCGGGGCCAGCCTCACGCCCCACGTGGGCTAATGTGGTTGTTCTCTTTCTTTTTTGTTTTCTTCTTTTAATATATTTTTACTGATTTCAGAGAGGAAGGGAGAGGGAGAGAGAGATAGACACATCCATGATGAGAGAGAATCATGGATCGGCTGCCTCTTGCACACCCCAACCTGGGCATCGAGCCCGCCACCCGGGCATGTGCCCTGACCGGGAATCAAACCGTGACCTCCTGGTTCGACGCTCAACCACTGAGCCACGCCGGCTGCCAATTATAACCAGGTTTAATCAAACCTCCCATAGAAGGTTCTCTTATCAAATGGAAGCCACAAACATTCAAAACCTTAAGGTACCTGCTCCCCTGTGATGATACGATCAAAACTATAAAACCCCCTCCCAAAAGGCCTTCCACGACCCTTCATGTTCAGAATCGCTGAGTCATGCTCGGAATCACTGAGTCATGCTCAGAATCACTGAGTCATGCTCAGAATCGCTGAGGACTTTGGGGCTCATGGAAAGGACGGACGGCGACCCCGCTCTGCAGACATCTGCAAAAGCAAAGGGCCTGGGGCTCACCTCCAGATGTCACTTCCCTTGGAGAACAGGGACGACTTGATGACTTCCGGCGCCATCCAGGCGTAGGTGCCCGCCGCGCTCATCTTCGTGGTGCGGTGCCATTCCCGCGCCAGCCCGAAGTCCGTGATCTTCAGCGTCTTATTGCACATGTCATCATGCTCGATCTTCTCCAGGAGCAGAACTGAAAACAAACAGAAACAAACAACAAAAAAAAAACAAAAACACAAAGGTCAGATATTTTCGTGATTTTTATCGTCTTCTCCCATCGCAATTTTTCCCTGGGGCATGTTCAACACAATCTTCCCTGCGGTGGGGAGAACACACAAGAATGAACTCGAGTTTTAGCTTCCTGACATCACTGATATCATAACCGCTAGCGGGTCCTTGGTGCCTGAAGTTACAAGTTTTTGGGGAAAAAAAATCCACAGACATAGTTCAGCTCAGTACTCTTTCCCCACCCCCACTTTTTATTTCAGATAAGAAGGGAGAGGGAGAGAGAGAGAGCAACATCAATGATGAGAGAGAATCATGGATCGGCTGCCTCCTGCACATCCCACACTGAGGATGAAGCCTGAAACACAGGCATGGGCCCTGACCGGGAATCGAACCGTGACCTCCTGGGTCACAGGTCGACACTAACCACTGAGCCATGCCGGCCGGGCGCTCACAGGTATTTTGATCAGGGAACCCAGCTCTGATGCTATCGGTATGTACTGTTAATGATCTGGACTCGAGAGATAAGGAAACTGAAACCAGCCACGTGGTCATCTGTCCAAGGTCCCGCAGCTGAGAAGCAGGGACGCTCAGGCAGTCTGACCCCAGGGTTCATGGTCCTGGGGTCCATGTTGTCTACGTCGCTCAGCCAACGGGGTGCCTCAGTTTTCACAAGAGCATCCTCCATCCTCGGAGAGCTCTCTAGCCCGGTGCCCATCTCCTCCTTTCTGATTTCCTGTCGTTGGACCAGTATCCCCTGGTCCACGCAGAGGCAGCGTGACGAAGGGCAGGCTCCCGGGCTTGGGGGTGGGGTGGGGTCTGTACTGCTGTCTCCTCGCTGTGTGGGAACCCTGATCGTATGTACATCAGAAGGGAGGGAGGAGGGAATGTATATTTTAGCCCCCCCAGGTCTCCCCCAATATCACCCAACACAGTATCTTGTGAGTTCATGTAAGTGCTTAGAACAGTGAAACGCAGTAAGCATTTCGTAAGGATTTTACACACACACACACTTTTATCAACCAGTCTGGAAGTGGTCTCAGGTTCTCATTTATTTTGTGTGGTTCTCTCTTTGTTTTTTACATATATTTTTATTGATTTCAGAGAGGAAGGGAGAGGGAGAGAGAGAGAGAAACATCAACGATGAGAGAGAATCATGGGTCGGCTGCCTCCTGCACGCCCCACACTGGGGATCGAGCCCGCAACCCGGGCATGTGCCCTGATCAGGAATCAAACCATGACCTCCCCTGGTTCATAGGCCGACGCTCAACCACTGAGCCACCCCAGCCGGGCTACGGTTCTCTCTTAAAACCAGAGAGACGTTCGCGTGAGGATTTATCACACGTCGCCAATACCGGGGAAGTGCTATTGTGTTTGATGTTCTCCTACGCTGGAAGGCATGAGTGTGTTGCTTAACAGAGGGAAGCCCGGGAGAAGCCAAGGTCAAAGAAAGGCAGCTCTAAAGTAGGTGAAAAACACCACGGAAAGTGAGGACTGGAACCTAAACACGTAAAACTCACTGCACTTCTAAGTAAAGGTCATGGTACAACGTCCCAGGAGCAGCCTTTGCGCCGATGGCTCGGGACACCTGGCCCTCCCAGGTCCGAAGTTTCCATAGGAGCTGAGCGCTGCCACCCTTGGCACTAACAGGAAACACGTTCAAGTCACACTCCGAATGCCAAGCGTCGAGCCCCGTGAAAGGCCCATTGTGTCTCGGAGCCTATTTCCAAGGTGTTCAGCAAAATTCCTGACATTCCTTATCTTTTGGGCAAAGTGACCGAAACCAAAAAAAAAAAAGCCAGGTGTCCCGACAGGTAGCAGAATGGGGCAGCTGGCCAGGTTTCAGCCTCAGGACACGAGGGTGGGTGCCAACTTCCGCTTCCTGCCACTGGCAGGGAGGCCTGCCCACCGGGAGGTGTACCGCGCAGGCCAGGCAATCCAACCTTGTCGGCCCCAGAGATGGGAGGTTCCTGGGAGAGTGAGCCGGCAAGCAGTGTTCGAGCCCCTGCTCTCCGCAATCAGCCTTCACACCCTCGCACCCGGCCTACCCGCTCAACCATGAGCCACTTGATTTTCCCGCCTCCTTTGAAGTTTCAGTTGGGTATTTCCAGAATTATGGCCTCTAAGGTGTATATATTATTTTGTGTTTTTTTTTTAACAAAAGGCAATTACAATGTCTCCATTCTGTTTTCTCGACATTTATGGGATTGCTGTGTCCAAATTCCACTGGAGCCTAATGGGATCCTGTCGATTAATCTTTAACCACGAATATATTATCACCAAGAAAAAGTCATAAGGAAAAAAAAGAAAAACACGTCGAGGAAAGCGACAAGGGAGGGAGCGCGACATATTTAACAAACGCCCCAGTCTGAGGTGTAAGGTGACTCCGTGAATTTCAACTCGGAACAACCACTTACAGTGAATAAATGCTAACTTCCTAAGTTTATCAAATGGCACCAAATTTTCTTACATTTCTTCTGAAAAAAAATATTTTTTAAAAATATATTTTTATTGACTTCAGAGAGGAAGGGAGGGGGATAGAGGGATAGAAACATCCATGGTGAGAGAGAATCATGGATCGGCTGCCTCCCGCACGCCCCCTACTGGGGATGGAGCCCACAACCCTGGCATGTGCTCTGACTGGGAATCGAATAGTGACCTCCTGGTTCATAGATCGACGCTCAACCACCGAGCCACGCCAGCCGGGCAACATACAATATTATATTAGTTTCAGATGTACAACATAGTGATCAGGCATTTATATAACTTACAAAGTGATCACCCCAATAAGTCTCTACGATGAATGATATTTCTTGATAACATGTTACTAAAATGAATTGTTGTCTAGAATTTTTTTCGGAGGTAATCACATTACCATATATACATAAATATATGTGTGTGTGTGTGTGTGTGTGTGTGTGTGTGTGTGTATATATATATATCTGTATCTGGCCCCTTGACATAAAATTAAACCTCGTAAAATTTAAATTTGAAAGCATGTCCATTCATAGTTATTATTAACTATGGATAATAATCACCAACTAGTGGATTATGTGCAATGAAGGTATTTCCCCAACTGGCAGGTGATCTGGGAATGAAACAGTTACAGTAGCAATTCAGTGCTTGGTGCCTCCTCCTTGACCCTCCACTTATCAACCACCCCCCCCCCCCCCCCCCCCCAGCAGACCTGCCAAAGCACGCAGGTGGCCGCATTCCTACAGAGAACAAAGCCCAGGACTGTTTCCTGGTCCTGCTGCCTGGCCCGATCCAGCAAGTCAGCCAAACTGCCAGGACCCTGCCCCCTCCCCCGCAGCTGAATACATATGTGATCGCACGGCACAGTCTTCTGCAGAAGGACTAATGATCATGTTCCTAGGTCATAAAGCATCCTAGACAACGTTCAGGTATCAGTGAATCCACACTCTAAAAATCAGGAAATATTTAAAGCACTCAAAGTGAGCCCGGCCGGTGAGGCTCAGTGGTTGAGCGTCGATCTAGGAACCAGGAGGTCATGGTTCGATTCCCGGTCAGGGCACATGCCCGGGTTGCAGGCTGGATCCCCAGTGGGAGGTGTGGGGTGCAGGAGGTGGCCGATCAATGATCAGTGATTCTCTCTCATCATTGATGTTTGTATCTCTCTCTCCCTCTCCCTTCCCCTCTGAAATCCATAAAAAAATTTTTTTTAAAAAATAAAGCACTCAAAGTGTTTCTAAGCAATATATAGAAATGAGTATATTGTCGCCCTAACCGGTTTGGCTCAGTGGATAGAGTGTTGGCCTGTGGACTGAAGGGTCCCAGGTTCGATTCCAATCAAGGGCATGTACCTTGGTTGCAGGCACATCCCCAGTGGGAGGTGTGCAGAAGGCAGTTGATCGATGTTTCTCTCTCATGGATGTTTCTAACTCTCTATCCCTCTCCCTTCCTCTCTGTAAAAAATCAATAAAATATATTTTAAAAAATGAGTATATTATCACCAGCTTACATTTAGATTGTCTTAAAGTTTATTAAATGTTTTGACATATGCTGGGAGTCAGCAAACTGTGTCTCCTGGGCCAAATCCAGTCCAATGCCTGTTTTGTAAATAAAGTTTTATTGGAACACAGACACACTCACTTGTTTACATACTATCTTTTTTAAAAAAATATGTATTTTTTTAAAATTTATTTCAGAGAGGAAGGGAGAGGGAGATAGAAACATCAATGATGAGAGAGAATCATGGATCGGCCGCCTCCTGCACGCCCCCGACTGGGGATCGAGCCCACATCCAGGGCATGTGCCCTGACCGGGCATCGAACCGTGACCTCCTAGTTCACAGATCGACACTCAACCACGGAGCCACCGTGGCTGGGCTGGTCATTATTTTCTAACTCTGGTGAGCCAGAGGGAGAAAGTGCCCTAAAGTGAAATCACTAAATAAACAGCGACTGTAAAAACCGGGCCCGGTCATAAATGATAAACAACTTACGTCAAACCAACGCGTAAGGATTTTATATTGTGTTCCCGCCCCACTGCTGATCTAGGCTGGTCCAGTCATACAGCCAATGACCCCACGCTTGGGTTTCTCTTCTTTGTTGATGTTTATCTTTCGCAGATCCGACCGCCTTCCCCCTTAAACCTTCCCTGGCTCACTCTTGCCCCCTCAGAGAGTGGACACATCTTTGCACGAATCAAGGCCCTCATTGTCTGGCACAGGATCAATGCCTATTTCCTGCCCACAAATCCCCTTGTCTACCTCTCATCCCAGCCACACCCGGCTACTCTCTGTTGCCTAAAAAAGCCCTAGGTTCCATCCGACTGCTGTGGCTCAGAGGTTGAGCGTCGACCTAGGAACCAGGAGGTCAGGGTTCGATCCCCACTCAGGGTACATGCCCGGGTTGTGGGCTCGATCCCCGGTGTGGGGCGTGCAGGAGGCAGCCCATCCATGACTCTCTCTCATCACTGATGTTTCTATCTGCCTTCCTCTCTTAA